GGTTCCAGATTATTCAAGCCAAAAGTTTTGGTCGGGCGGGGGGGGGTCCATTAAACGAGCCGCAACATTACCCCCCATGCTCTTGCATTCTTTCCTTCGTTACGGGAGCCTTTCAGCACCAAGGCTACCCTCCTCCTCTCCACCCCTACCCGGCTCCCCCGGGCGGCCCCGGCTATGGAAGCAGATCGGGGTCCGGATCCCGCAGTCGATCACGCTCTCGCTCTCGGGGCCGCCGGGCTCGTTAAAGGGACTTACTGCAAGTTCTCTTCGGAGCAGTGAGAGCACCCTAAACGACCTGCATGCCTTAAATGAAGCACCGTATGTTCCGGCAACGAGAACTTAACAAACGTTCCGCTCAGAACCCTATGAAACCTTTGTAGAGTGGTTTGGTGTTGATTGGTGATGCCTGAGTACTTCAAACTGATGGAGAGTCGCTTGGCTCCGGGGCATAGGTTGTACAGAGGCCAGAGCACAGCCTGCCAAGCGAAGTCTTCGGATATTGCCATGCAGGAGCCAAAAAGCACCTTCTACCTGGTAGCTTAAAGTATAGGTTCCGTGACAAGAGCCCAGGCAAGGGTGCCCGAAAGCGCAATGCCTCGGCAGCGGGTTTCAAGAAGGACGTGCGGAAGCAAATTGATGTACATACCCCTGGGTACAGACAGGTCACATTCAAAGACTCGCATGCATCAAGCCTTGTTACGCACAAGCTTGTCCGACTTGATGTTTGTTTGCCTCCCTCTCTTTCTCTCCCGCTCTCTCCGCATCCTTGATGTTAAATGATACATTCGTTGCCTCTACTGGTATGTTTTTGGAACCCAAGATTTACACAGAGCCAAGTCGAGGAGTTCAAGCCTTACCACGCGACGAGCGTCCCAAAGGACACGGACCTCGCTGCGAACGCCACAGCTGATGAGCCCCCCACTACTGCCATGCCCCTTAAACACGAAATAAAGCCAAAAGGGCATTACTTTGGGTTTTTGTCGCAGTATCATTTCTGTAGGTGGTAAACCCTTAGTCGATTTTAATGTTCTCAGAGGCTCAGCCCTAAAGGTTCTTCCTTTGCGGGCCATTCTGTCCTGCAGGCTTCGAAACATCCCCAGCAAGTTCACCCAGCAGTCGTTGCTGGAGGAGATCGACGCAGAAGGCTTCAGTGGCTGGGCTCTTGTTAAGTGATTTAGTTTAAATTACCACAATAGGGATCTATAGTAAATAATATGGTTCCTTAAGTATGGTAACTTAAATTAAAGCCCTTAACAAGAACCCAGGTGGCCTCTATGACTTCTTCTACCTTCCGATGCCCAGCTGCACTCTAAAGGACCTGCTTATCTTCTGCACAACTAGAAACCTCCCGACACTACCGTAAACCTGTTTCCACATCAGAATCAACAAAGGATGGATGTGCGCAATAAGACGAACGTGGGCTACGCTTTCGTCAACTTCTTGGAGCCGGATGACATGGCTCGGTTTTCCCGACACTTTGAAGGGTACCTGTGACCCCAAAACGGTCTGCCCTTTTTTTGGTGGGTGCATGCATACTTTGAAGATGAAGGAACAGTAGATCAGATAGAGAAGCCTAACATTGGGTGTTCTGTTTCTTGCACACAACTAGCTAGTGTCAAGCTCACAGATGCGCTGTAGATGGTGTTATGTGCAGGTACCGGTTCAAGAACAACAACAGCCAGAAGATCGCCACCGTTAGCCCGGCGCATGTGCAGGGTTTGAAAAGGAACATCCAGCAGCTCTCCAAGAAAGCCGTGCTCCACTTCAACAAAGGCCAGTACAAGCCCGTGGTGTTCCGAAACGGTGAGCGTGTGGACTTTGAAGTCATGGCGAAGGAGTTGGACTAATGAAGCAGCTTCACAGAGAGCCCACCTATTTCGACTGAAATAAGGAGTATCCTTGAAGAGGGGGGATCTTTAGTACACGGTATATGACTCATGTGACTTCAAATCAGGGTATTGGGCTCTCTGGATTGGGAAGGGGGCAGTGGCAGATTGCCCTTGCTATAGACTACACCAGATCTTGAGTTGTGACAGTGTTCTATGGTGGTGCGTGCAGGTTGAGCTGGAAATAGGTTACGCATCCTGCCCGCAGTCTTGCGACTTTGATTGGGTTTCCCTACGATCCTGACGCATCCCCGATTGTCATGGTCCGATGCGGAGGCACAAGTGCCAGCAGACTAGAGCGCTATCTCGGGTCTTGTGTGTATTCGCTTGACATAGGACGCAGATTCTGAGATATGGCGCATTTTCCCGAACTGTCCTTGCTTTGTTAGTTAAGACTGCCGCAAACCCTATGCCCCTAAAGGATTGTAGGATCAATTAATTCACAACCACAGCCCCAGACCTGACACTTAGCTAGGCTTCGTTGGGAGGAAGGAGGGCACAAGCTTCGTTCGCAAAAAAAGCCTACGCAAAAAACAAGCTACGGATGCTGTGCTGCTGCATGCAAGCAACCTTTGACTTTGCAAGATGGATTCGTCTTATCATAGGCCAAGTCCGAAACCTGCACACCCTAAATCCGAAGCCCCGGGTTCCTCAACCTTCATACCATTCATACCGTCATCCCAAATTCCTATACCCAAGCACTCCGGGACTTAGAGTGCTCGGGGCTTTTAGAGGGTTTGAGGGGTCATGTTTGCTATGGTGTTCCAGGTCACATAATGAATAAACCCTAAGCCTTCCTTCAAGTGTATGGGGCTTCCGAATGTAATTTACCATACCCTTCTTAAGGGATCGGTCATCGGTCGTATGATGTGGGGTATGTTTAAGGGGTATTGGATGGGCTTCCAGGCCCCTTCTCCGGGGACGGTTTCAGCGGCTGAGTACTTAACCAGCCAGCCAGCCAAAGATTTGAATGGCCACCCGAAGATTCAAAAAACATAACCATGTACATACAGAGAGAGAGAGGGAGAGGGAGAGAGAGACAGAGAGAGAGAGAGAGTACCCACCCGCCAGGCCTGACTTACTCTCAAGCATCGTGAGTTCCTGCGCGTCAGCCTTGCATCCTAAACCCCGCAACAACCGTGATGTCCACTGATTTCTTTAGACGTGCTAGGTAAGCGAGTCTACAGGAGCCGATTGCAACGATGCTGAGCCCCGCTGACTCCGATGTTGTCTGCTGCACGCCTTTGAGGAACCTAGAAGCATCTCGGGGGGGAGTAACAACTTGAGCAAAGCAGTCTGCTGCAATGAAGGTGTGCTACTGATACTACTGTTGCTGCTGCTGCTGCTGTTGCTCATGCTGACTCATAATTGCTACTACGACCACGACGAACGACGATGACGATGACCACTTCTGGTGTACGTCACTGAAGCTCAGCCCAGGTACACAGAAGCGCTGGATGCTTGGGCATGTAGCTCTGCCCTGTTTAGGTTTGCGGCCGGAAAGCTTGTTCAGCCACCGGCCGAATTTCCGGTTATTCTTCTTAAACTCGCATAAAAGCTGAGGGAGGAGCTCAAGTGCGAAAGCTCGGGGAGTTTTCTGAGGCAGTTTTTGTCTTGCGGATTCCGTGTGTTTGCAGGATCTGGGTGAGTTCATCTTGATTCAGCTGTAGTGGCAAACGCAATCAACTAAGTATTGGTCGGCTCGAGCATGGTTCTGTGCCCCAGACGCTTCAGCCTAAAAACTAGTCGCCCTCAATAACCCCCTGCGGCACCGAAACCTGAAACCGTGACATCCGAATTCGAGATTGGGATTCGAGCCGTACACTGATGTCATGGGGCAGTGGGGCCACAACTTTACATGATTTTGTGCAGGGTGAAGGGTATAGGCTTCGGATTGCCAACCGAGCCGCAGTCACTTAAAAATGGTAGTTTACGCTTAGACAGCTGCCCCAATTCTGCCAGTCATTTGATGATCTGAGCTCTTTAGAGTCTGGGGCGTGACAGGTGGCATTGTGATGTACCTGCTGCTCACAGGACCTGGCATATCTTGTGCCCTAGTACGACGAACTCTACATTGAAAGAGCCAGGAGGGACATTTAGTTGCTATTGAATTCATGCCCTCTTATGAACTGCAACCCTAAATCCTGAAACCTAAACTCACATGCCTCGCTTGGATGAGTGCCGAGAGCCTATACCCGGACCCTGAACCGTAAACCCTAACTACCCATAGGCCCCTAAGTAGTCCCTTTTATATTTTTGGGACTACCGTATAGGATTCTAAATATAAACCACAAAAAGGAACTAATTACTTAGGGGCTTATGGGTAATCCGAGGGTCGCAATAGTAGGGGGGGGGCCCCCCCCCCGCTCCCCAGGGGGTCCAGGGATTAGGCGGGTCACATTAATGAAAAGTGGGGGTCGCATTAATAGAATGATTGGGGGGTGGGCTGTGAAGAGAAGAGATGATGCAGTGATTTGGCTCTTGAAGGCTTAGTAGAGGCCTATCTGTTACTACTTTACTGCAGCTACAGCCTTAGTAGAGGCCTATCTGTTACTACTTTACTGCAGCTACAGCCTTAGTAGAGGCCTATCTTTTACTACTTTACTGCCAAGCCTAGGCTTTCCGGAATGGTTTCTTTAAATGTGAACCCTTTTTCGAGGTCGCAAAGCCAGCAAACGCCTACGTAATGGAAACTCCTCTTGCGGACCCTACAAGCCCCCAGAAAATTTCTTTAAATGTGAACCCTTTTAATATTGAGACCCTCGGATTAATGCTCTCCTGGCTCTTTCAAGCAGAAAAGGCCCTCAGCACGCCAGCGGTGCAGGGCCTTTGGGGTTGGTTTCCGGAGGGGTTCCGCCATCCAGCCTATAGAAGCATTGCAATAGGGTACCGTATTTTTGTTTGTCAATGTTTGCCGAAGGCCACTTCCACCCCCAAGCTGCCATGAAGAGCCAGAACTCCCCAATCTGGCCTGTGGAAGCTCTCTCATACGCATCTCAAACCCTGAAAACCCTAATCCCAACGCAGTTCAAAGCGAAAAAAAGCGGACACCTTTAAACCCAAGACCCCTCAACCCTAAACGCTTGAGTGGAGCCTTGCCTGCCTGGTGCGAGTGAGAGAGTCGAAAACGCTTGAACCCCCCCCCAAGGACTCAAACCCTTCAAATCAAAGCCCTTCAACCCCCAAGCTGCAGCCGCAGGATACCCGCGCAAGGCCAAGGCTCTGAAAGAAGCCCCGAACATGCACAGCGACGATTTCCGGCCACTTGGCGAGCGCTTCTGGAGTGCTAGGTTCATTCAGGATTGGGGGTCGGGGGGTGGGGGGGGAGGGGCGGCGGGCACCTTAAATTTTGGGTTTAGGGTTTACAGGGGTTTAGGGTATAGGGTTTAGGATTAAATGAGCCCTCTTGCCGAGCACAACAGCACCCCAATGCCTCTAGACCTGCCCCCTTGCACTCTGTTTTAAGGCAAGCGCTCACGAAGGGGAAGATCCACAGCATGCAGGACAATGGGAAAGCGCATGCCCGACAGATCCATGTGCTGTTCTGTATATGAATGCAGGTGTATGTACAGTGCCAATACTTCAATACATGCAAATGACAAGATTTCCGGTTTGTGGCTGCTGAAACACTGCATCGATATCTGTTCCTCGAGACACCGGACAGTTGATACGGCCAGATTATCTTGCACCCGTTTGCCAGCGACACAGTTCCTGTGTCCATGGGGCTTCATCGAATTTTTGTGTCGGCGACATGTTGCAACCTTTAGCTTAGGCGTCCAATCTATACTTATAGCAGGCTTCTGTTCTTCTTGCACTGAGACTCTGGTTAAAGAAAGACTTCGTACTGCTTGATTGTGTAGACACCTCAGGGAACAGAGGTGTGCAATTTTCCTTTAGCGAGCTTCACGGCGGATTAGCGTCTTTTTCTTTTGGGTTGTACGATTCCGGTTTGAGCTTGCAGGAGCGTGGCGAGCACATCTCACGCGAAGCGAACCATCTTGTGGATAACTTGCCCTTTGGCTGATCACCTCGGCCTTGGTACCTGCACGCAATGCGAGTGTGCTAGAATGCTTGGGCCGATGCTATGTTAGCAGACTCGATCAAGACTTTCGGGCCACAAGTATGGACCTTGAATTAAGAGCCCCTATATAACCCCCAAGGAAGGGTCCCTTTAAGGGTCTCTCCTTTAGTCGCTTGATTGGATGTTAGGCAGAATCCCGAGTTAATCGCGTAGCCGGAGAGACTCCGACTCCTGAAGCCAGCAGCCTAGAAACCTCGCCCAGTTCATCCATGCAGGTAGCATCACAGATGTGCTGTAGCCCACTGAAACCATACTGTAGTAGTCTCTTGAGATGGACCTGGCTTTCTCCCTGGCTTCTGAGATCTCCAGGAACAGTAAACCTGAATTCTGATCCTCCCTTTGCCAGACTCAGATGAAGGCTTCTGACTTCGGAGGAGCACCGGATAGCACCAGCAAGGGCGGACTCTTGGCGAGAAGCATGGACAAGGTTGGCACGAAAGGGAGATGGTTTGGACTATGCCCTTCTTTATGGATTGAGACTTTATGTTTGTAAGCCCTGGCGTGTTTAGTCAACCGCGAATAGGTCTTCCAGCCTTCACCCTCAGCCAGCATTGCCAACAGTCGGACCCTCACGTTTGAGAATTCGGGGACCTTGTCCGGAGTTACAATGTTGAGGAGGTTGCATGGGTTCGTGCACTTGTACCCAACTTTTCATTGCAGGTCCGGACAAGGTCCCTGAATTCCCAAACCCTACACTCCCTGAACCATCAGGTTTAATCCAGCAACCTGCCCTGAAACTCCAAAATCCTAAAGCTGTGAGCCCTCGATCTCGGATTCCAAATCCCAACTCATCCTAAGATTCGGAACTACTGGCTCCAGAGTCATGCTCCTCAGCCGAGACCTCAGCAGATCGCAGCAGCTTCAGCATTGTCGTCTGAGC